GGGGGGCAGCGGTCGACCCCGAGGCACCTTGCTTGTGGGGTGCCACAAGGGTCGGTCCTCTCGCCCCTTCTGTTCAACATTTATGTAAAGCCGCTGGGTGAGATCATCCGTGGCTTCGGGGTGGAGTTCCATCAGTACGCTGATGACACCCAGCTGTACATCTCCACCCCAGGCCACCCCAATGATGCCCTTAAAGTGATGTCCCAGTGCCTGGAGGCCGTGCGGGCCTGGATGGGGAGAAACAGGCTCCAACTCAACCCCTCCAAGACCGAGTGGCTGTGGCTTCCGGCGTCCCGATATAGCCAGCTGACGCCATCGCTGGCTATTGGGGGCGAATCACTCGCCCCCACGGAGAGGGCTCGTAACTTGGGCGTCCTCCTGGACGCACGGCTGTCGTTAGAAGATCATTTGGCGGCCGTGGCCAGGGGGGCTTTTTATCAGGTCCGCCTGATACGCCAGTTGCGCCCCTTTCTAGATCGGGACTCCCTACGCACAGTCACTCAGGCACTCGTCACTTCCCGCCTGGACTACTGCAACGCTCTCTACATGGGGCTCCCCCTGGGGTGCATCCGGAGGCTCCAGCTGGTCCAGAACGCGGCCGCGCGGGGGATTTTGGGGGCGACGAGGCGCTCCCACGTGACACCTCTCCTGCGCGAGCTGCACTGGCTCCCGGTGGTCTTCCGGGTGCGCTTCAAGGTGTTGGTGACCACCTTTAAAGCGCTCCATGGCTTAGGGCCGGGGTACTTACGAGACCGCCTTCTGCCACCAATAGCCTCCCACTGGCCAGTACGCTCCCACAGAGTGGGCCTCCTCAGGGTGCCGTCCGCCAGACAATGTCAGCTGGCGACCCCCAGGGGGAGAGCCTTCTCTGTGGCGGCGCCCACCCTCTGGAACAACCTCCCCCCAGAGCTACGTACAATAACAGACCTCCGGATTTTTCGTCGGGCCCTAAAAACCCATTTATTTCAACTAGCTGGGCTGGCTTGAGTCAAATTTTAAACGGATTTTAAATTGGAATGTTTTAATTACGGCCAAAATTATTTAATTATTTTAAACAGATTTTAGATTTTGTATGTTTTGTATGTATGTCTTGTTTTTACTTTGGCTGTTCACCGCCCTGAGTCCTACATTGGAGAAGGGCGGTATAGAAATTTAAACAAATAAATAAATAAATAAATAAATACTGATGAAAGCAAACGAGCTAGAAATAGATCTATATAGGTCTCCCACCTAGCAGGAAGAGCTTGCTAGCTGTTAGAAAAGAAAAAAGCCCAGAATCGAGTGGATGTGATTCTACTGAGCTGGTGCTGCAGAAAAACCTTGGTTACGTAGGGAAAACCTGGCTTGAAGAAAAACACACATAAACCCTACGAAGAAGTAAGAAAATATATATATATATATATATATATATAATTTATATTTCACTGATAAAGAATATATAATTTTTCTTTCTCTGAATTACTGTCATTTGGCTTTCAAAACATGATTGTTATTATAATTATTATTATTATTATTTCAAAGGTGTACCATTACATCATTTTTCCAACCATAGAAGGTCATTTGGGCTATTTGGGAGCGGGTAAGAAACCCTTCTATCTCAAATACCTGGAAAAATGGTGAAACAGTACATTGGTTGACTTTTGAAAAAGAACCGTAAAATGAGTAGCTCAGGGAAAGAAAAATAGTCATTTAAAAAGTAGAACTTGGCAGATTTAAAACCGGTAAAGTTCTGCACTGCAGGGAAATGTTATAACTACTGTGCCAGTAGAAAAGAACTGTAACATAAATGGCAAAAACAACCATATTGAGATAAAACTGGGAAAATACCACCCCCACCCCCCAAAAAAGTGAAGCTGATTGTTGTGTCTGAATATATCTGTATTTTAATATTTTAACTTTGTATATCTAAATTTAATTAATGTTACATGTATAAGGCATACGTATACATGCACGTACTTTCAAAAGTATTTATGTCCAGTGAGACTTGGACCACAGAAAGAAAAGCAATTAGCAGTTGTTTTCTTGGCATGGAAAGTTGGAAAGATACAACAGCAGGGAATTGCACAGTGAGGCCTGCAATAGCCAGCGGTCTGGACTGAACATCTGGCAACGTGTGCTATAGCATCCTAACCTGGCCAGAATTTTCTTAAAACAGTTTAAATATTTAGCTTTAATTTTTCATTAAATATTTAAGCTGGCATCAGCACAGCATAGGTACAGTTTAAGGATGTGAAATAGATATGTCTTAAATTTGACCCAAGCAGAGTCAGGTTTATAAATAATCACAAAAATCCTAAACGTATTTTTAAAGGAGACCTCCTGACTTTCTCACCTACATTTAACTCGATTGCTTTTTCTTTAGATTGCTTTCCTCTCGATTGCTTTCCTTTTTTCTTTCATACATTGAACATTTAAAAAAAAATAGTTCAGGATTTTTCATATTGATTATTATAGAGTACAGATTAAACCACTGATTTTGTTGTACCTTTCTGAGCCTCCCGGTCACAGTCTCAAAGCAGTCTTCGTTTTTTTTTTGTTTTTTTTTTTTGTTTTTGTTTTTGTTCTATTCCCTCACATTTTCATGCAGATTATTTTGACTTGCCAGTTCTCATTAGCTGGAAATGAGGTGGAAAATAATGAGAGCAAAACAGCTGCCATAGTTCTTGCAGGCCAATTTAGTAGGTCTCTGATCTCATACACTCCGCTAATAGGATTTAAACATTGTTCCAATTGTCTGTCTACCCCTAAGTCATACGTACTACTGAGCCATCTGCACAACTCATACTGACTCATACTATCTTATAAACTCACACTGTCATATGGGATCCATTGACTATTCAGAAGGGAGTCTGTTTCCTTTATTAAAATTATAACCATGTTGATTTTGTCTTGATAAGTCAGAACAAGTGCGATGTACGAACATACTTAAGAATAATGGAAAGTTTGCCAGTGTTACCGTAGGGTATGGACATCTTTGGAGGACATCTCATGCATGCTTGGACTTTGCTGCCCTACCTAGCCAGTGAAAGCAGTAAAAATTAAGATTGGTTGAGTAAAGATAGGGGTTAAACTGCCTCCCAAAAGGCAGCCAGATTTTTTTCCCCATCATGTAATGTAGTAATGTAGTAATACTCCTTACTTTACTCATTACATTACTTTGTCAAATTCACGGCGTCACGTTGCCATCACATGACATTTCGTGACATTTTTCTCATTCACGGAACTGGGTTGGGTATGGCTTGTACATGACGCATTCAGCCTGCAGGACACCAGTTTGACACCTCTGATTTAGATTATCTACTCCAACCTAATTTCAGGTACTGTTATGGGAGGGATATTATTTTGGTCAGTTTGGTGAATGATCAACACTGAATAAACAGTTGGATTTTATTGCTTTGATTTCTTTCAAGCCTGTCTGTGGTTTTCAGTACTAACCAGAGTGTCTCAGATTACCTGGCTGAGATTGGATTTTAAGGCTTGTTCTGCGGTCAATGGCAGGGGTGTCAAACTCAATTTCATTGAGGGCCACATCAGGGCTGTGGTTGACCTCGGGGGGCCAGGCATGGGTGGTGGGTGGGTGGGTGTGGCCAACTGGGTGGGCATGGCCATCTTGACAGCATTCCCCCAAATGCTGGCATGCTTCCTCTTCGCACTGGGTAGACCGGGCCAAAGCCATGCTGGCCCGATGTTTCCTCTTCACATTGGGTAGACCGGGCCAAAGCCATGTTGGCCCCATGTTTCCTCTTTGCATTGGATAGACCGGGCCGAAGCCATGTTGGCCCCATGTTTCCTCTTCGCATTGGGTAGACCGGGCCAAAGCAATACAGGACGGCCTCTTAAATTTTCCAGGACGGCCCAATGAGCCGGATCTGGCTCATGGGTCTTGTGTTTGACACCCCTGGTCTACTGTATGGCCTATGTTCTGTGGTAGCTATCGTCTTTCTTGGAATTACAGGTTACCAGTACAGGTTGTCCTTGACTTATGACCACCACTGAGTCCAAAATTTCTGTTGCTTACTGAAACATTTGTGAAGTGAATTTTGCCTCATTTTGCAAGCTTTCTTGCCACAGTTGTTAAACGAATCACTGCAGTTATTAGGTTAGTAACACGGTTGTTAAGTGAATCTGACTTCCCCGTTGACTTTGCTTGTCAAAAGGTTACAAAAGGTGATCACATGACCCCAGGACAATCATCATAAATATGAGTCAGTTGCCAAGTGTCTGAATTTTGATCACATGACCCACAGGTATGCTGCAACAGTTTTAAGTGGGGAAAATGGTCATAAGTTACTATTTTTTGTGTCATTGTAACTTTGAACAATCATTAAATGAACTGTTGTAAGTCAAGGACTACCTGTACAATTCTATGCATATCAAGAAGTAAACCTATTAAGCTTGCTTCCCCAAGTGCTGAAAAGCCCAAAAAATTATCCAAAGCAACATATTTGAAGAAAAGGTTGTTTCACGAAACCATTTATTTTGGAAGGTCATTTCCACAATTTTTGACTGAATCACTGTTATTCTCAGATCTTGTAGAATTTTTTTTATCGCGTGGGGGGGGGGAGGCAGAAGATAATATCCCCTGGCAGCCTGAATAATTTGCAATAGATTTTTATATTTACAACTCCCAATTACCTCATAATAGCAATGTCTCCCACAAATTCCCCTGTTCTTTCTATGGATTTCTAAGAGGAGAAAACTTTTTATGGAAGGACACGTGAAGATTTGGATTTATTTGCTGAGCATATATTCAGAGATATCAGGTTCCTTAATTTTTAGCCTGCCCCAATTTGCCTAAGCCAGTAGTGAATCTTAGGAAATAGCAAAATATTATATCCAGTTCTGAATGACACGGCTACATTCCTATTATATAAATGTAAATATACTGGTAATTTTGTGCAAAGATAGTTTTGTATTTTAAGAAAAATCTTAAATAGAGTATTAATTAGCATTTGTTGTTATTTTGTTATAGTCATTCCATTTTTTCTGTTGACTTCTAGCTAGAACACATTCAGAAGCATATATGGTATATGTAAGTAACTTTTCATTAATATTTTAAATATGATCTTAAAGACAATAATTTCTTGAAATTATGCCTTGAGTTCAGAAGAGCTAGAGTTTCCTCTTTTTTCTAAAACTGAAGATTATGATTATACCTTAACATTTAATAATTGTATTTTTGTTTCATTATGTATATTATTTTTAATAGTACTGACATCATTCGGGGAATAAAACTGTTCAAAAGCATTGCCCTATCTGATATCTCTAGATATGTTCAGATCTCTAAATATGTTAACTCTCTCTTAATTTTCCTGAAAAGCTTGTGTTATATCTAGTATTAGTCAAAGAATAATATACCATTATTCCATCCTATAATAGAAATATCTTTCTGCAAACAATTTAGTTCAATCTTTTTGTAGGGCTCTGTTCAGTGGTGGGTTCCTCCCGGTTCGGCCGAGCCGGTAGCGGTGACAATATGATGTCACCGAACCGGTTCTCCCCTCCCGCCGTCCCCCCCACGTTATTCTTTTCTTTTATTTGGTCCCACCCCCAATCTATTGCTGCCTCCTGAGTCCCAGCTGATGACTAGAGGGAAGAAAACTGTTTAAACTCTTGCCGCGGGGCTTCAAAGGGCCATCCTACAGCTGATCAGTGTTAAAAGCAAACAAATGAGCCGGGTCGTAAGTGTGAGGACTGGTCGTAAGTGCGAGGACCTTCCAGAAATGACTCTGACCAGCTAGCCATGCCCACCTAGTCACATGACCTCCAAGCCACACCCACAAAATAAGCCACACCCACAGAACCGGTAGTAAAAAAAATTAGAACCCACCCCTGGTTCTGTTGACATTAGATATGACTACTAATAGAAACTAACTAAAACAGCTTCGTTGTCTTGGAAAGGTTCTTAATTTTAAAGAATGGAATAAACTGTTTCATGTACTGTTCTCATTAAAATACTGATTCAATATATCTGATTTAAGCTTCTAAGAATTAAAATCAGTGGCAGCAAATTTATTAAGAGAGTGTGCAGTATTTTGAATGGAGGCTTTGGAAGTAATATCTATTCAGTAACCAGAACCATGCATTAGAGATCTATAGATCAAAATTTCCTTAGGTATTCCAAGGAAGTCACCAAATCCTTATGGAGAATTTTAATTTCAAATCAGTCTCCATGTGTATTTGCAGTCAGCACTTGGTTTTGACATTTTCTCTCTCTTGTTCACGATCACCTGGTGATCATCACACAGAGGAGGAAAAAATCCTGGGTGTTGCTGTGCTTCTAATTAATAATCACAGGAGCTGTTTGGAAATTTAAAACTTCCAACTTTGAAATGGTTCTTGCGCACTTGCTAGCAGCATGAAAACTATTTTTTCTTTTGTTCTTTTTATAGTAATCCCCTGACACTGCAATGGCTAGATGACCATGCAGCGTTACCAAAAGGTGATGGAATGGAAAATAATGCAAAGAATCTCTTCTGAATATCAACTGGGATTTTTAAAATCTCTCTGAAAGGAGGGGGGAGACACCTTGTCTCTTTCAAAGGAACAAAACAGCCTCTTCTCCTCCATTTGACTCTGCACTTCTGTTAATTGCAACAACCAGGATATTTAATTTCCTAATTGTGAACTCCTCTGATATATTATACATAGAAGTCACTATTTAAAATCCTAAAATTTGAATCTAAATCTCTCTTGAAGTTAGAGGCAAACTGTTTGAGTTCCCTCTTTGGGAGAATAGTTTCCTTTTGTACACTAGTATAATTATTTTTTCTTTCCTCCTCTCTCTCCCTCTCTCTCTCTCTCTCTCTCTCTCTCTCTCTCTCTCTCTCTCTCTCTCTCTCTCTCCGTCCCTCCCTCCCTCTCCCTCTCCCTCTCCCTCTCCCTCTCCCTCCTCTCCCCCCTCTCATCTAAAGAGGGGGTAAAAATGAGCCAGAACCGGAACAACCAATTCCTCGAAAGGTCCAGATTCGCTCTCTCCCTTCCTTGGAAGACATCGATCCTGATGTTCTAGATAGCATGCACTCATTAGGTTGTTTCCGGGACAGAAACAAACTTTTACAGGACCTGCTGTCAGAAGAGTAAGTAGTCTGTCTATGTATCATTGGTTGAATGTATACGAAGAGTCACATGTGTATTAAAGGAAATGAAAAAAATTAGGCAACAATTATAGTTCCATATTAAAGAGGGGAAACAACATTTTTTAGCCAGGTGGCATCAGAACCCTCTCACATATAGAATCATTAAAGGGGAAAAGGATATATAAAAACATAAGAAAATGAAGCGAATCATCTATTTACCAAATATTCTGTTTCATATAGTGGCTGCTATGCTTTCAAAGCTGACAAACTTGGATAAATGAGCAGAAGCTATCACTCTGTTGAAAGTGGTAAAGTAGTATTTAAGATGGGTTATCTTGACTGAGGAATAAACAGCCTACATCAGGGAGGTCAAACTGGCGGCCCGCACGCTGGATGCGTCACACTCAGGCCACACCCACCCCAGCTCCACTAAGGGAAAAAATGTTGTGATATGTCACGTGATGGTAATGTGACGTGGCAAGTTTGACACCTATAGCCTACATCATTTGCTATTAATAACCCATTCCTCCAAAAATATAAACAAACTGTTCTTAAAACTTTCTGAATTGGTAGCCAACACATTTGAAGGTAGTGATTTTTATAGTATATGCTGTACACTGTATAACATAGTGTAACAATGTTTTGAAATTCAAGTGTGTAGATCTCTCTCCCTCTCTCATCCTTTCTTTATAAGGATGTATCATTAATTGATATGTGATAGAAAATGGTATTTTTTGTCAGATGACGGATCAAACTTCCCCAGTTTTGCCCATTCTACTTTTTTCTAATATACTGGACTATAACTGATCATCCTTACCTAACATGTCCATGCTGGCTGAGGACCTGGGTTCTGTAATCTGAAATGTCTTTTGGGCAATAGCTTGGGGAACCTCATTCTATCTTTATTGAGAGATTATTTTTTTTTGAAGAATGCTGAAATTACTTTGAATTTAAGTCAGTTCCTCAAAATGGTTATAAATAGATGCATAGACACAACTCTCAAACCTTTTCTGCTTCAGTTAATATAATGTAATATGACTTCCAATTTTAAAAATAAATTATTTTAAAAAGATTACTATTCTTTTCTCCCAACTATATTTGTGAGCACTTTCAAATGAACAAAACATTTCCCTAGCATTACCTAGTTATAAACATTTAACAATCCAGGATATCTGGATTGAGTTAGGATTATTATTCCCCGTTTTTCTCAAATAGAGGATTGAAATTCAGAAAGAATTAATAGCAGACGGATGACTCAGATTGGAAGGTCATTCATTTGTAGCTTAGGCTGGTGTTTTTCAACCTTGGCAACTTTAAGATATGTGGACTTCAATTCCTAGAATCCCTAGCAATCTGGCTGGGAAATTTTGGAAATGAAGTCCACACATCTTAAAGTTGCCAAAGTTGGGAAACCCTGGCTTAGACACCGTATAACATCGGTATCATGAAACAATTTTTACACCAAGCGTCAAGCTGCAGATGTAGATGATGAAACTGTGTATAAAATGCTCTTCGGTGTAAAAAAAAACAACATCGTATGAATGCATGTTTGAATTACAGATATGTAGAGTAATAGTAGAGTAATACAGTATATTATCTTACAATTATATACTATAATAGGAATTCAGCTACAGCAGTCCCTGATTAAACCAAGAGCTATCATCAAATACTGAGAGCAATACATATTGTTGGAACCCCAAGTTCAGTGAATTCCACAGTATAAAGTACAGTATATGAATAAAGCTGAACGGAAACCCCCATTCTACTCTCTGTCCTCTGTACTTCACTAAGCTGCCAGACATTGACCATGATTTTTCATGATGACCTTAGAGAGTCATGTGGAAGTAGAGCATATTTTATGTCTTTTATGCATTGACTGATGTCTGAAATCACTTGATGCATAAGAGACATAATAGACATTCTGAAACAGAATCCAAGAAGGACTACATAATATGCTCCTTTCACATATTTCAATTAGCTCTTAACATTCTACTTTAGTAGCCCCTTTTTAAAAAAACAATAATGTTACTAAAGAAGACCAAGGCCTGTAAATAATATCTGCACTAGATCTTCCATTTGTTTGTTTGTTTGTTTGTTTGTTTGTTTGTTTGTTTGTTTGTTTGTTTGTTTAATAAACTAATTTATATAGCTGCCCATCTCACAAACAGCAAGCTTGGGCTGAATATAACAGAGCTAAAAACAGTATTTTATACTATCTTAATATTTAAGATATCCAGAATGGAGTACATTTTAAGTAGAAAATTCCATGTTTTACTAAAGAATGATATAATGTTATAATTTTTCTAGGGAAAATCAGGAGAAAATGATTTATTTTCTACTCCTTGATCGGAAAGAGAGATATCCTAGTCATGAAGATGAGGATCTTCCTCCTAGAAATGAAATAGGTATATATATATTTTTAAAACCGTATCTTCTCTTAAGTCCCTCTCTTTTGGCTGCCCTTATTGAGGGCAAAGTCACGTCGCCATTCATTGTTATTGACAAATTTGTAAAATTCTAGCTAACGAAAATGTTTATTGCACATTCAGAAAGTCCAATGTACGAACAATAGCTGCTATAATTTAGAAGAGCTTCTAAATGTACTTTAGTAGATTACTTACTCTGCTTAAGCATTTTGTACTTACCTGGGATTTCCCTAACCACTGAAATAAAAACCTATTTAGATGGGAAGTTCATGGAAATGCACTTAGAGCTTTGGATTGTACACAGATACAGACAAACACTTGATGGAAATTATGGAAGTATATTTTCTGATTTATCCACCTGGCTTAAACTTAAACTGAATTGTTTTGTACAGTTATAATTTTATGCAACTTTGTGTTTCGCCGTAAGGGAGCAGATCAGCTTGTAACTTAATATTTCAATTGATTGAATTTTCTCTTCAATGCAGGTATACCTCTGTTTTTTAAGGTAGCAGTTTCTCCAGCTTCTTCAATCCCGATGATATATCATGCTCCTTATTCATGCATAATGCAAACTATATTCTACATTTCCTTATATAAGAAACAAAAATATACTCCTTCAATGTATTAGTTTTGTATTCAAGCTGAATATATCTGGATGATGTATCATCTGATTTTAGAATTCATATACATTATTATTATTCAAGGGAAGCAGAGTGAATGAATGCAGCTCTTTGCTCATTTGTCTTTAGAAATGCAGAGCAAGATTGTGTATGTGTGAGTGTATGAGTGTGTGTGTATGCGTGTGTGTGTGTGTGAGAGAGAGAGAGAGAGAGAGAAAGAGATATTATCCATTAAATATTACTTCAGACAAACAATTGTTTGGAGATAATGTTTTCTTCAAAAATACATATCGGTACTCTCTTTTCCAGATGGCCATCAACATATAAAGGAAAAAATATCAGAATATAGGTAGTACTCACTTAACAAGGGTAATTGGGACTGGCAACGTTGTTGCTAAGCGATGCAGTCTTAAACACGAAGTAGTGTGACCACTCAAAGGATGGCAGTTGTGGCAGTCCCAGTTGCTGGCCTTAGGCAGATCTCATGCAGTTGTAGCATCCCACAGCCACATTGTCATCATTTGCAAACTCTTGCCAGCTTCCTCATTGACTTTGCTTATTGAAAGTCAGCAGAGAAGATTGCAAATGGTGATCACGTGATCATGGGTCATTGTAATAGGTGAAATTAGAAGGACCCATCATAAGTCCATCTCAGTCAGCGCCATCATAAATTTGAACAGTCACTGAACAAATGGTCATTCAACAAAAACTGTCTGCAATAGGGGCAAGATTCAGAATGCTAAAAATCTATATCATATTATTCTCATTCTTTTAGGCTCTCTTCTTGTTCTTCATTGTTTGCAGTTTTGTGTATATCTGCATCTTGTGATGAAGTATTGACCAAGATCCTATAATGGGATCATAATGTCACAGATCTGCAAAGCCTGTAGATATCTACTTATTATTACTATTTGCAGTTTTCTAGGATAAAGCATCAAATGTCTATTCTTTTTAAAAGTTTTAGTGCAAGTTCAGCAACAATAATACTTTGTAAAGAAAACATAAGCATAAGATACAAAATGTAGCATTAGGGGGAAAAAAAACTAGAATGTAAAGATAAAATTTGGAAAGAAACAGCTCAAAAGTTCTTGTTTGGACCTATGATTTCTCTGAATAAAATGTCTATCCTCTTTGCATTATCTAAGCTCTGTTTTTAGGTGTATATGTGTGCTATGATGTAAGTTACTTTTAAAAAGTGCTTTAGATATATGACGGAATGGCAAGAGTTAAAAGGACCATGTATGAGATGCAGCAATGTGTAAAGAGTTTAAATGATTTTGGTCTCTATCAGGGTCCTCGTCCTCTCTGTTAAATTTAGAAAATAAATAGAGGGGACACTGAGTTTTACCATTCCAAGACATTTGAGCCATTTCATAACTTTGCTAAGTTGACTGCATTATCTCTGCATAAAGACCCTCCCAGAAAACGTGTGGACTCTCCAATGCTGAACAGACATGGCAAGCGGAGACCAGAGAGGAAATCCATGGAGGTTCTAAGCGTGACCGATGGAGGGTCCCCGGTTCCTGCCCGCAGAGCAATTGAAATGGCGCAGCATGGACAGAGGTAGGTGGTCCCAATAACAAACAAGAAGAAGATTGTACATGCCATTGAGAAACCACAGGAGCTGGTATAGTGGCTCAGTCATTTTTATCAGCATCAGGCCAGGATTTTTTGCAAGAAAGAGAAATTAATCACAAAAAGCCTCTTTGCTTGTTATTGTGTCTTCTTTCTTAATCTTTTGTTTCTAACAAGCATTCACACCAATGCTAGGGAGAAATTTATAACAGAAACCATGTAAAGGTTTCATAGACTACGTAAACACAAACAACATGGAAATGCTGTTTATTCATAATTCTGATCCCTTTTATAGTTCAACGGACTATAAAAGGATTAAGGTTAAGATTTTTTACCCTCTAATGAAATATACTAGCCACTTGTTGAACTGAAAATCAAATGGTAAAGAAAAAGTTCCTAAAAATTATACATTCAGATATTTATGGTCATTTTTGTTGTGCTTTGACTAGGATCACATTGCAGAAATTAAATGAAATCTCATATGGATATGCTACATAGAAATGTTTTAAGAGACTCTGTTTTTAAACATTTTAAAGCACCCATCTTTTGGTTCTTTGGAGCATAAATTCATGGTCTCAAATATTAGCTTTATGCAGGAAGAATGTTATTATCTAGAAACTTATTTCAGCTGCTAAACAGAAAGCACGACTGCTTTAACAATTCCCAGAAACTCTATATTATGCAGTGCCGAAAGGTTTACCTAGGTGGGTTCTTTGCTAAATATTGTGATTTTAATTCTAATGAACAACAAATATCAAAAAAGGAAAACATATTGTTTTCTTGCAGAAAATGTCATGATGCATGTAGACCACTTTTTCCACAATACGTTAAGTTGCAATGCTGAGCTATTATTCAGTTGCAACCATTGACATCTTGTCGTAGTCCTAGACCATCCTGTACATGAAAGATTTGACATATCCCCAAATAATCCAGGATTAGCATGCAAGATTTCAGAATTTAAATACTACCAATTTCTTGTTTCTTCATTACCATCCTCTGTATGTGAATCAGGTATTTAAAATAGATCAAGATAGGAATAACCAACCAAGAAAGGAAATCTAAGCTGGGGAGAGTATTTTTGCCAAATTCTAAGGTTATCTTACATTTATTGTGATGTATTGGGTTGTTTGTATGGTACCAGTGACTTTAACATTTTGATTTGTGTTACATTACAAAGTTGCATATTTTACTAACCTCAATCATTTTTAACAAAATTATTTTTCTTTATATATAGTTATTTTAATGATGAAAAGCATTGTAGCGGAAATCTGTGGATTTACTCTGGATTAGTGAGATCTTTTATAAAGTAATGTTTTCTGAAACACTACATAAAATGACATCACAGTAAAATACAGTCCGGTTCCATGCTATAACAAGAGCAAGAGCCACAATGCACGTGTGAAATATAGGTAGGCAAAGCAGAAAATATAAAAAAGAAATTCATAATTTCATGGTGCTGTTGCACAGTATCCTGTGCCTCTGTGTATTTCTTATGCCACTTCATCCTCAAGTAACAAACACAGCAGTGTGTTCATTCTTTCTGAGTATAAGCTTGTTCCTTAACACAAAGTCCACCAAATGAGAAAAGAAACATATGGACGTAGAGTCTACTATGAATTTCCATGTAACCTCTGGAAATCATTTTGAAGAGGATAGTGCTACCTGGAAGAGCATTACTTTCAATGAGTAGCTATGCTACCATTTCCCCAAACAATTTGGACATTGTAATACTGTGATCAAGGGACCAGAGAGGGGGAGATCTCAAACTGAGAATTTTCATGGTCCTTACAAAACCACTATATGTAGGATTTATTGTTGGAAGCCACACCAATTAAAGTGACTGAAATGCAGTGTGATCTGTTCCTGGTATATATCAGTAGGTTGTTGCATAAGTAAATTGAAGAACATGAGGGGAACATCACCCTCTCCTACTAAATGAATACCCTTACAAAATCAATGAGAACATTTTGTTAACAAGTTCACTTTCAGCACCATTTTCGTATGTTTTAAGTAGTTTCTTTGGAGTGTGCATTCATAGGTCACAGTGAAACTGGACAATTATTAATGGCCTCTGCAAAGAGATCAAGCCTTACTTAGAAGTAGTTGTGGATAAGTAGCTATTTATTTTTGTGAAAGGCATGCCAAAAAATAAACCTAAAGCTGCCCACCAGCATAATTTCGTCTCGAATTTGCTCATGTCCATCTCTGCTTAAAAAACGTTACCATGCATTGTCTTCCTGAGATGTATTAAATCGAGTATATGTTGGTTTCAGCAGTTGCCATTCCAAATGTCCTGTGAAGATAAAATATATATATATCTTCTTTTAAAACCTTGTATTATCTGACGGTTCATACATTCCATGCCTCTTCCCTTTCTGTTCATGATACCCAGGAAGATTTGCCTGTGAAAAAGATGAATGCCTTGAAATCAACTTGGTTTTCAATTTTTTTCTACCAATAATCTTGCTTCCTCCGTTTGCTGTTTTACTTATTGTAAATTTCATTTCCTTTTATTCCTTCTCTTGTGAGGACTTTGGTACTTTCGGTTGTTCTTGTTCCATAATCTAAACTCAGCTTCTCATTTTCCCCATGGTACATTAATGCCGTCGCAGCTGCTATTTTCATGGTACATTTTCCTGTCACAGAATTTTTTTTCAGCCCAAAGATTGCTGTCAAAGGCTCAAGGCTTTATGTTAGATCAAACAAAACATGCTAGAGCTGAGGTACATTATGAACTGAAAGGAGGGGGGGGAAGTGCTTCCATCAACAAACTGACATCCTTTTCTTCCTGACTTCTTTACACTGATTACTGAAAAGGCAGCTACCTGATACTAGGATCTGTTTTTCTCCATCTGACCCACCTGTAGGTTTCAGGCCTGCCATTTTTCTTTTGAGGGCTTGAAATATTTATGGCTTTTCTTTGCAGATTAATGGCAGCAAGTGAAAGGATTAGTGGGATCAAGTTATGTACTGAGGAGGCTACTTTGAATGGCCAAGTCAGATCTGCATTCTTCAGATCTTGTTCAACATAGTAGCTTCCTTGAAAATTGGCATATCTCACCACCATGTCTCTGATAAATATGGTTCAGGTTTGAGCCACCATTTACGTGGTAATTGATGTTTGGAGAGGCCATGTGCAAGAATGGTTTGTATGTAGTGACCCTTATCTCACATCTCATATCAACAAGATTAGTAGAATTTTAGTTTACTCCTTCACTGGAAAAATTCAGCCTCTCCAGTAACCCAGATGCTACACCCTTCTATGCAAGGAGCTCTTAAAACCTTCCAGTATCAGCACAGAACTGGGAAAGCAATGTAGTTCTCCATTCCAGATATTTTTGGGAAGGGAGGGGGGTAACTTTGGGTGGGTGGAACTGCGTCAGGTGAACCTCATATGAATGTCCACATCAGTAACTCTTTTTTCTCACTTTGTTCCTGCCATAGTAAAACAATGTTCAGTAAAAGCCTGGATATCTGTGAAGCCAATCCCACATTCAGCAAAGAAGAAAGGTATAAAACACCAACAATCTGTTCCTCTCCTTTATCTCACTTCTATTCTTAAAGATGCAGTACTTCCCTTTTCTGCTGGGGATACATTTGATTTCATTCTTTGGAAAAAAATAACTCAAGTCAGCGATTAATTCACCTTCACACTATAGCATATATTTTGGCCTAACAGTCTCCAGATATTGTCTGTATGGTTTATGTCTATGCTGTAAGATTCCAAGATCAAGCAAAACACACTAGAACTGAGGTACATTATGAACTAAAAGGGGAAAAAATGCTTCCATCAACAAATGACAAGCAAAAGAGGATAGGGAATCAGAACAGGTAGTCCTCGTTTAGCAACTGCCTTATACAGTGACCATTTACAGTTACATGAAAAAATAACTTTGGGACCAATCCTCACATTTATGGCCTCTGCAGATCTGTAAATCAAAGGAAAGCTAAATACAGTCATAGTTTCAATTAGCAACCACTTCGCTTAATGACCGAGTTGCTGATCCCAGTTGGGACAAGATGAGCCTGTGAGCTCAGCTTCCTCCATTCCACTAAGCTCCCTTGATACTTCTGCTATTGCCCTTCTTCCGTGCATATTGGCAATTAAAGTCAAATTTGACCCTAGTGAACCATTTAACCAACCTCAAATAAGTTTCATTTGACTCTTATGTCTGGGATACAGAGAATATGTTAGCTTATCTCCTTGATGTTTAAGAATAAGCTTTGAACTTTGAAGATCAAGCTTTCTGTCAGATAATGATGGTTAATTGGTTCTTTTCTTTCATAGACAGCTTTAGTCTGGGGTCACTCCACATTTTGCTGTTTCAAAGAGGCAGAGATTCTTAATTGGAAAACAGATTTAATAATATATTAACAGGAAGGATTTCAGCAAATATATGACATCTTGTAGCAACCCATTTTTTTTCCTCTCTCGGCTGCTGAAGATTTCATTGTAATTTTTAAAATTGTTGATATTTTTAGGGTCTTTCAATTATGGTAAGGAACTCTTCCAGCATTAATATTTTAAAAACTATGCATACATTTAGCCAGATAGGGGATCCAATTAACATGCCCATAAAATCATGCTCTGAGTTTAACCAATCATCTCAACAGCTTTCTCTATAGTCTGAGAAAGTTCTAAGTCAGCCTATGTTCTTTCAAGTCTGCCCTTTGAATATAGAACATACAGTTGAAATCAAACAAACAAAGTATGTATATTGCACTTCTATTTTTTTAAACCAAGAAATGTTTTAAAACTACATAGTCATAAGCTGCTTCAGGAGTGATACTGTGTTCAGTCCTGTATTGCAATTAAAGCTTCTGACCTAGAAACTCTTAAGTTTACTCTGTGCAGCATCAATTTATCTACACAGGGAGAAAGAGAAAATATTTCCATCATAGTCATAGGCTAATGCAGCCAATATGCAATGTAGAGGAAAAAGGAACAGCAGGAATACCATCACTAACAAGTATTGTAGACTTCTTTAAAATGTTTAAATCACCTCATGGTGTCTTTTTTTTTGGTAATGTTTACAGCTGACCTGAGAATTATATTAGCATTTTTATTTTATATTGAGATTGGAAATGATGATTTGAGTATATTGTAGGGGCAAGATTTGGAGCCTTTTTGTCACAATGCTGTACTAAATCTAATATTGAAAATAGTCCCCTGAAGTGAACTTGTGCAAATCCTAGTTCACTTTAAATTCACCCTGAAATGCTTTGTAAGATCATTCCATTAACTTTCTGAAAGTTATAACAGCTTCCTATTTTTAAAGAAGTGGAGAGAGGAATTTTGCCTCTCAGCAGATGGGATGGTCTGGCAACAAGCAAGGCACTCTGTTTTATGAGGAAAGGAGGGTTGTTGCCAAGATCTCATAAACCGTTCATAAGCTGGGGAGAAATAATGAGCTGCTGTTTGATGTGATATTCATCAGAGAATTCCTAAGCATTGTTGCAAGAGCCAGATACTTGATGCAAATTTCAGCCCATAGTGACTGTAGTACAATAGGATTTTGAAAGCCTAACTATATGCTCAGAGTTCTTGCCAGACAGATCACAGTGCTAACCCACCACCCTTGTAGTTATTCCCCCCCCCCTTCCTCTTGCTGAAAAATCCTTTGTTGTAGTAACCAGCAAAAACCCTTTTCACAAATAGCCTTTTTCTCAGAAAGGCTCCAACATTAGCACATTTGCCACTACCCTAAAATGGGTCCTTATCAATGTCTCTTTGTTATCCAAAGCACTGATAAGCTTCCAGGACAATTTCTTGTGAGCACTGGCTCTCAAATAGTGGAGAGAGGGCCTACTTTATAAGGATTGGTAATATATTTTAAAATAGACTACATAGTTTTCTCAATAACACGTGAAAAGAAAAAGCTAAAAAGTAAGCATCCTTTTTAAATACAGAAATATGGAAAAGGATTGATGATCTTCAAGTTTATCTTGAATTCTGGAGACTTTGTAGACACATAGACACAGTTTTCTTGGGTACAGAAGTAGAAGTGGTTTGCTATAATCTTGTTTTTCAATTTCCCTGGCTGGATTGAAATTTTGGGATTTCCATTAGTCTTCTACCCAAGTACTAACCAACCAGTTAGATTCCGAGCCCTGATCAGATCAATAAGGTGCTGGAACCTAATGAAAACCATAAGAACAAAGCAAGCATTTTTTTAAAAAAATGTGTTTGGTTTTGTGTACCTTGATGAAAGAGTTGTTAAGGGAACAACCACAGAAAAGTAAGCTAAAGAATTGCAGGGCTAATTGTAAGAAAGAAACCCCAACTGAAATATTATCTACTGAATCAGAACCCTGAAATGGTACCTGCTCAGTGTCTTAATTTTTCTCTCCCTTTTGGTTCATTTTTAAGAGGAATACTGCATCTTTAAGAATCCTGACTTCCTAGATGCACACAATTGTTTTGATAGCTGAGGCCACTTTTCTTTCTGCCCTCTTTTTTCCTATTTCTTCTCTCATTTTTGTATTTTTTTTCTTTTACTCTCATTGTTGCATTCTTTTCAGTGTTATTCTCGTTTTTGTTTCTCCCTCTTAACCTTGCGTTATTTTTCTCTTCATTTTGCATTTTTTTCTCTCTCTCAATTTTATGTTTCCTTCCTTCCTTCTGGATCTTTTAGTGCTTCTTCTATATCTGGGTTGCTGCGGCTCAGTAGTTCACATGCTTTAATTCTTTAGGAAATGCACATATCTGCGCTGCTAGGTTTTTGTTTTGGGGAATTATTTTTATTTAAATAAAACTCATTTTGCTTCTTTCTATCCCTCATTGTCAATTTGATGTCCATTCGCATTGTTAAAGCACTTCCTGACTTTCTCTTTCTGGAAAACTCATTAAGATTCTTTTAAGCATTTGTATGTCCATGTTAACTATCTGTATATTTTTATTTACTTTCCCTGCATTGCTTATGTCTGCATATGTGGAGACATATGGTCATCGGTGTAAATGAATTTCTAGAGAATATAATAATTTACTTAGAACATTAGTTGTTAATGCTTCAATACTATGATAGCCAATGTAGCTCTTTTTATACTCCAAAAGTAAGTAGCTTTGTAGCAAAATACTTAAAACTTGAAATGATACACTTTGGGTTAAAAATGCACTTTGGGTTAAAAATGTGAAATGAAGTGTTATATGACCATTGGCAGTAATAGTCAAATAAGTATGAGTTAATAAGCTGAAGTATGGCATTTAAAAAAGATTAGTCCCACCTCAAATAAATATCTGCAGGTTTTCAGGAGAGTAGAATATATAACATTGGAGCCTTTCATCTATTTGATTGGTGAGTAAGACATTATTTTAAATATGGTACCCATGCAAAATATACTCACTGTATATTCAAATGAATATGGAACTAGAAGTGCACACTCCAGAATATGTTTTTACCTCTAAATCATGCCCGCATATTTCCAGGGCAGTGATTTCTCTTAATGGTGTATCACTATATCTAATCTTATTGTTTATTTGCACATACAAGCAAAGCCACCTGTTGTGCAGGCCATGGTTTTTGAGTATAATATGATCTCATCATGTGCTGGAAAACATAAAATCAATAGTAATAATAATACCTGGGGCCTATGGATCGTATTTCTAACATTGATAGATGCTTCAGCATGTATCAAATTCAAGGATTATGCTTTATTACAATATCAAATTGCATAAAGTCAAGGTAACTATTTTCAGAAACTCCAGTTCTAGGAAAATATTCCATTAGTGCATGTGGCTCTTAAACCAGAGACAACGTGTGGGGTAAGCTGCTTCAAAATTATTAAATCCTATATATTCAAGAGCCAAAGTGACGCAGTGGTTAGAGTGCTGTACTGCAGCTACTTCAGCAGATCAAATCTCACCGGCTCAAGGTTGACTCAGCCTTCCATCCTTCCGAGGTGGGTAAAATGAGGAGCCAGATTGTTGGGGGTAATATGCTATTTAGTATACTGTCGATTGTTGTAAGCCGCCCAGAGTCCTCGGAGAGTGGGCGGCATAGAAATATGATTAATAAATAAATAAATAAATAAATAAATAAATAAATAAATAAATAAAAGCTTAGAGAGGAATGAGGGGATCACAATGCCAGTAAAAGTGGACAGTTCTTAACTCAGTTTAGGAAAGTGATATGAACTGATAGTTATGCAATTTGGTGCTATTTATCTAATTTACTATCATGAAATAAAACTCATGATTAATGTATTCTGAATAATAATATTTTTCACAAAAAGAATTTGTGCCCTTCATGGACCACACTTGACCATATGCTAGGAATATGCCAAGGATTGTATGCCAGGGAAATGGTCACTAATAGCAGGCAAGACTGAGAAATAATCATACAAGGCAAAGGGGGGGGGGAGAGAAAGGACATCTAATTGAAATTTAAATTAAATCCAGTTATGCAGGTGTACTTTATTGTGGTCTGTGACATTTGATAAAAAGATATAAAACAGCATAAAAAAATTAAAACGCTAATATTATGACAATATTTTCCCACATAAAGTACTGGTGTCTGTAAGAAATTTTGCAACTGCTCTGAAGAGGTTAAAGCTCCAGAGTCATTTAGAGTTGAGTGGTATTAATGGATGGATAGATGGATGGATGGATGGATGGATGGATGGATGGATGGATGGATGGATGGATGGAATTAAGTTAATAAAATCATCCCCAGAACAAATGAAATTTCTCTTATATGGAGTCATCACAGGTTCCTATAGAAAAGACCTTAAAGAACATGTTCCTTCAAATCACAGGAGCACATTCGTTCTACCAAAGGGATAGTATTATGGCAGGCAATATATTAAAGCGGGCAAAAGAGAGACTTTAAAGTGTGTTAGATAGATAATCTGAATTAGTAATTGGCTGGCTTGGTTCCTGCTTATATCTGACCAATATGAGTGAGTTAGATTGGCCTGAAGGGCTGCACTTGCTGTTAAATTGCAGCTCTAGATTTCAATAGCCCCATGATCAAAAAAGTATAATGTTTGCCTTTGCAGATCACTGATGCAGTTAATATTACTCTCTATAGGTTCTGTCACAATAAAATTACAAAAATCAGATGTCCAAACTGAGCTGTTCTAAGAATCTGCATTCAAGGTTTTTGAAGCTTCATATCAGTGTGGATTCTCAGTCTCTGCACCCCTGACACCAACCAAAAATCTACATTTCCAGTTGACATTTATCCATAAAATAGAGATATGATTATAATTATATTTCTCTCCTATATATCATAATCTCATGTTAGTCCCTATATAATGTCAAATGCACACGTAAGACGTTCACAAGTTTCATGTAATTTGTTTACTTATTTAATTAAACAAACAAAACAACAAAACAAACATACCAGTTGTATAAAATTTACACAATTTACCCAATTCATATAAACCTATTGAGATTCCCATATTGCAAAGATCTGATAGTGATAGTACTTGCAAAAATCCTTGATAATTCTTTGAGAAATATCTAGAGACCTATCATCTAAGCTAAAAAGTCATTCTCCATTTTATGTTTTAATATGTGATGTAATAACATCTCAGATTATCACTGGTAGTATCTACATTTAACATCATTTTCTGATAAATGTCTTGCTGTGAATACATGCAACAGAATATCATGTTTGTATGACATATGTGTGTGTATGTATGTATATATGCATATATGTGTATGTGAGTGTGTGTGTGTGTGTGTGTGTGTTTAGATCAGTGTTGACTCGTGGTATCTACCTGGATAAGTCTCAGCCGTTTTCTTGGTGAGATTTTTAGAAATGGTTCACTATTACCTGCTTCCTTGAAAGAAAAAAACTGGCTCATAGTTACCCATCTGGCTTCCTGCAGTATCAAACTGATGCTCTCATACCCTGCCTAGGGGAAAATACAAAAATGTGTGTGTTTCTATGTATTCTTCATTTTCGTATTCTTCCCTGTGTGCATTGTCAGTTTTAACTTTGTATCTAATTCTCCTAGGATCATATCAGTATTACACACAAATATTTTCCCCAGTATAAAGAATTGACTCATTTATATAAGTAAATAAATAACAACTGTTAAAACTAAATTTATTTCAAACTAAGAAAATAAATGGGGGAAGAGATCTGTATCAGAAATACTTAAGGAATGTAATTTCTTAAACCTACAAGAAGTTACTTTTATCTCAAAGTGCTCAGTTTGGCTCAATGTCTTATCTTACCATCTCTTGTATATAGCTCTTGTAAGGATAAAAAAGAATGAAAGCCCATATCAGGTTACAGCCTCCTAAAGGACCAGAAAGGAAGAGCTGGGATGCCCTCGAACACTGGTGTCAAACTGGCGGCCTGTAGGCCAGATGCGTCACGTGCAGGCCATGCTCCGCAAAGGGAACAAACATCACGATACGTCACTTGATGGCAATGTGATGCAGAGAGTTTGACACACATGCCTTAGAGCAAGAGTGTCAAACTCGATTTCATTGAGGGCCACCTCAGGGTTGTGTTTGACCTTGGGGGGCCGTGGGAGGTGTGGCCAGGGTGGGCATGACCAGCTCAACATCACATGTGTTGGGGGCACCTGTGGTGGCCCTCTGCCAGTGAAAACAGGCTTCCAAGCTCCATTTTCAACTGCAATGGCCTCCTGCAACCCTCTGCCAGCGAAAACGGGGCTCCGTTTCACTGGCAGAGGCACCACGGGTGGGTCCTTCACTATTTCCAGGGCAGCCCCACAGGTCAGATCTAAGCACCCCGCGGGCCAGATCCGGCCCCTGGGCCTTGAGTTTGACACCTCTGACCTAGAGCAATCACCCCTATTTTATGTTCTGTTTCTCATTTGTGAATTAAATTTCAGGATTTCTTTACACTTTCCATTTTGTACAGGTAGAATCAATGTATTATATGTTACAATAAATGTGCAAAAAGTGTGTGTCTTTATGCCTGGTATTTGAATCATCCTCTATAGAAATTTTGTTAGATGGTGGGTGGGGTACACAAGGAGAAAATGGTTAGTTATCCTAGCTGAAAGTAAACTGATAATCTAATATTAAAACATTTAAATGAGAAAAGTGCAGTGAAATTACAATATAGGGATAAACACTTAATATCCAAGCAGGATTAGTTCATACCAAAGACAACCATTTCTGCTTCTGCTATTATTTCCAACTTGAGTAGTAGTAAAATAAAGAAATGGGCAGAAATATAAGTTGTTCAAATTATAATCAGTGCCAATGCTCCTCTTACCACATTTATTTCAGCATATAGTTTATTATCTTCATGTAGCATTCCAACAGAGAAAGTAATTTTTATAATCCGTGACTTTATTTTAATAAAACTATTGGACTCTAGCCCACAAGTCAGGAAAAAGTAAGAGCTGTATTAGGAATTTAAGATATAATATGTTTGGAATTATTAGACGAGTATCAAATGAGATATGGAGAGTCATGCTACACTGAACATCTTGTATACATAAAGAAACTTCCCATGCTGCATCCTCTGTTATAACTTTGTTTACTGGGCACGCATTGTCATTCAGGTGTATTTGTCATAATGATCAACACATTTAATATTACATCAGTTACAGGCATACAGATTGGAAAAAGAGATTTCCAAAACCGATCTTTCTAGGGTAGAAAAAAAAAATTGAAGAGCAAATTGTGGGGAGATCCTCATCTGTGTTTGATAAATACAGTAGAACTTGCTACATGTAAACAAACAATATGCTTTCAAAAAAGCAATCAATCCAAAATGAACTTTCAGCTCTCCAGCTTAGAGCATACAAGCTATATTTATTTATTTATTTTACACTAACTCTACTTGCCCCGATTTCAAAATTACAAGCAGCATGGGAATTTTGTGTATTATAAAACTCTCCCTTCCCATAAGAATTCCCCAATCACACATTCATCAGCAAGAGATGCTTATGGCAAAGAAATTATGACCATGAACAATACTCCAAACAGTATTTCACTCTGCTTTTCATACTCTTTTCTCCACCTGTTTCCATTTCCCTTTCTTTTTTCTTCTTCTCCTTTTATTTCCTTCTGCCAAGGATGACGAGTGCTGACACCTTGGGGTAAGCTCCAGTTTTCAATTATACCTGTTGTAGAATCTTTTCTCATTTGGGGGGAAAGATTTCTTGCAATGATCCCAGTGTAAACATTCATTATTGTGCAATCAAAAATATTTCAGGAAGAAATATTTTAGTACAATGCTTTGATGGAAGGGGGAGGGCGTGCCCACAGGAGTGTGTACTTCCTTGCCTTGACGTTGTATTTATCTTATTGATTGTGGAATAAGAGAAAATTAAATGTGAAGTCTTGTAATAGCAAAAGCATTTAGGCTTATATATCTCCCCATGATGCTTTATAGCACTCTTTGGGTAGTTTAGAATGTACGCATTATTTGCATATTGCCCCCAACAGTTTGGGTTCTCACGTCACCAACCTCGGAAGGATGGAAGGCTGAGCCAACCTTGAAGCAGTCAGGATTGAACTCCAGGCTGTGGGCAGAGTTCGCCTGCATTACTGCACTACTACTACTGTGGTACCAGAGTTTGTACAAATTTTTGAAAGCTAGCACTAATTGGAGGAAGGCACCTGAAGTCTGGAAAGAGCAGAAAAGTATTATTTATAAGTCATCTTATTTAGCAGAACAATATAGTCCCTTCTCATGAAATCATATAAGTAAGAGTTAGAAATAATCTTGAAGGTCATCTTGTCGAACTCTTTGTATATTTGCTAAAGGAATATACTACTGTATCATCCCCAACAAATGATTATCAGCCTGTCTTCATATATTTCCAGTGATTGTGATCTCATCACCTCATAGTACAGTGTGTTTCATTGTTGAACAGCTCCTACCCTTAAAAATTCTTTCTGAGGTCCAATTAAAACCTGTTTCCATGTAATTAAATCCACTGATTCTTATTTTCTGGAACAGCACTGCTTTCTACATGATAGCCCTTTAGATGGTTGGAGAATTATCACATCTTCTCTAGCTAAATATAACAGTTAATCATAGGGTTTTTTTTCTTTCATATCCCTTATTTTTGATTGCTTTGCTTTGCTTTAATTGATCAGAGCATGGCCTCATTGGTCAGTGTATATCTAAAATGCACTGTCCAGAACTAGATGCAATGTTCTAATTGTAATATGACTAATGCAGAATAGAGAGCAACTATGAGATTTCTTGACCTTGAGATTACATTTCTGATGATGCAATTTAGGTTTGCATTTGCTTTTTTTGCATTTTTTTTTGCAAAAGAATAATTCTGGAATCTATTCTTGAAGCTCCAAAGTAAAAGCTCTTCTTGACAGATTTGGTCCTTTTTAATCATGTTCCTTCATTTCTCTGTCTCCTCCATCTTTCCCCTCTTCTCGTCTTCTAGAAGACTTCTTGATATACCATATAGTCCCTCTCCAAATGTTTCTTGTATTCAGTCCATTCCCCCTGATAAATAGGGAGTGAGAGATGAACAGGTTTACTTCTAGCTCCAGCACTCACATCTTCTCTTTCAGGAGGGTCAGCATATATAAGACTTGGTGTTTTGCCAAAGGAAACAACTATGACATACCTTCTATAGGTCCCAACAGCAGCTCTTCCCATGGTTCTCAGATGAACAAAGAAGAAAGAAATAAAAACTTCTCACTTCCCGTGGAATTTCATACACATCCATATGAAGCACCCTTACAAAGCACCTGAATTGTTCGCTCTACTATTGGCTTCTCAAACATTACGAAAGTGATAGTGGGAGGGGAGTTTACAAGCTTCTCTGTGATGACTTCCCCAACCAAATTCCAGTTTCCTTTCTCTGTTCACTTATTCAGTGAACTCAGCTTTGGAAGTGTTTATATGTCCTGAACCTGCCTCAGTTAAACTCAATAGAAGGCAATGCTCAAGTTGAATATTGGAGTGGGGAAATCTTAGCAGCAGCCGTCAGTCATAAATTGCCATAGTCATACTAGTCAGCAGTATCTCCTTTGCTTTTGATCTTTTCTTCCTTCACACTTCTTCTCTTTCCCTAAACTTTATTTTTGCTGACCCTCCATCACTTGTTCATCTGCATTATCTGGATTAAGGTTATGAGGCAAGTATAAATTGAGAGTGAGAAGCAGTAGTATTGGAATAGTCGACACCAACTGGGAGATTTAGTACCAACATAGATGCAGCTCCTTCCCATCTTTAAAGTTTAAGTCCTGCCTAAGCAGGGGTTATTACTGGGCACCTCCAGATACAGCTTTGTTCCTCTACAAAATCAGTTCCACCCTTGTGTAGTCTTACACTGTTGTTTGTGTTTAATGGCCAAGTGAATTTATTTTCCAGTGAGTGACAACCTCCTTTGAGATTGTCCAGATAGGAAGTACAACCAAGAGCATCAGCACTATTTTTATTGTAAGGTTACATTACACAGAATCTTGCAAGATGAAAACATTTCTCATAGCCTCTCTTTAGTTTCTGGAAAATTAGGAATCGTCCCTTCTGAAATGCGTCCTATATTTTCCTCCCACTTGCGGACTGAGCTGCCTCTTATCAGACAAATGCTTTATATTTGTTTATCCTGAAACTTCTGATACCTGTGGCAAATATGTAAGAAATTGGGATTCTGTGATAAGATGGAGAGAATCCTATCCTCATCTGATTTCATCTTTTCAGCCTTTACTGAAATGGGCATGAAAAGCACCCAAAGTCCACACCTGTCAGGCTAAGCCCAAGAATGATGCAGAACGATTCATGCAGATTTCAGTTCTTTATTTGCTTATACACAAGACAGAATCTTGCCTGACTAAACCCTTACTATATCTCCCAGGATATATCTCACCCTAATGGATATATCCTGGGAGATGGCTATTCTTACTCTTTTCCTCTGTCTGCTGTCGATCTCTGGGTTGGGCTGCCTTATCTCTCCTTCCCCCTGTCTCTTTCCTAGGAAACTGCTACTTTATTGTAGTCCATCATACCAGTTCCTCCTCTATGGGCACTATTCACACAACACCTCAAAATGTGAATAAATTCATGAACTGTGGTGGTGGTAGTGGTAGCGGCAGCAGCAGTTTCAGCTAGAAATTTTTCTTCTCTGTGAAAGAAGGGGAACCATTGTTTTTTTTTATTGATGGGGTTCTAGAACTTTTTTGGGGAACAATAAACTCAGCTGTTGGCAAGCTATAGGAGGAGAGTGAGGGCAGCTTGCTTGACATATCATCTTTGTTCAACTGTTAACTGGCTGAAGCTGAGCAACAATTGCCTGAAAGCGCCTTCTGCAAGTGTGCAGATCACTTTGGCTCTGGAGATGAGGAGGAGGGCAAAGTGCAAAAAATGGGATGGTTTTAATGTGCATTGGAAATTATTTGCAGGTAGAAGGGATGGCAATGCTTACAGGTCAGCACAGATTTTATCTGTTTCTTTAAGCTGTTAGAATGCAATGACTATCATTTGCTCTAGCATTTTTGTTTTTAATACTATATGACAGAAGTAAAATTTAAAAAATGTTAATTTTTTCTAGCATAGAAACACAAAAAAAAAGCAATGGCATTTTTTTTAAAAAAAAATTATGAATTGCATAAATTATAATATTTTTTTATTGGTGAGGTAAAGTGCTATACAGGTAGTCCTAGACTTACAACTGTATATTTAGTGACCATTCAAAGTTACAATGGCAGTGAAAAAAGTGGCATGAAGAGTTTACACACATACGACCATTGCAGACCATGGTCATGTGATCAGAATCCTGTTGCTTGGCAACTGTCATGGATTTATGACAGTTGCACTGTTCCAGAGTCATGTGATCACCATTTGTAACCTTCCCAGATGGCTTCCTACAAGGAAAGTCAAAGGGAGAAGCCAGGTTTGCTTAACACCTGCCTGATTCACTTAAGAACTGGAGTCATTCGCTTCACAGCTGTTGCAAAAAAAAAAAGGTCATAAAATGGCCTTACCATAAAATGGTAAGTAAAACAACTTACTTAATACCTGTCTTGCTTAGCAATGGAAATTTTGGGGTCAATTGTGGTCTAAGTTGTGGACTAACTGTAGAAACAAAAATATGCTAGCCTGATTTTTTTATAAATAAGGCAGAAAGATACATCTTCCCACATTGTTTCTGAATTTTAAAAAAACACTGAAATGCCTTATTTATTACATAAATATTTACCTGTTTTTATTATTAGTTCTTGATTTAAAATTTCTCAAAGGATAAAGTAACAATTACAAGCAAACTTCGTGCAATTAATCTGGAGAAATCGTGTTTGGAAAGACAGATTCTGATACTTTGCTACCTCATACTAAGCTTTTAGGCTTTACAAGTCGGAAGGGTGTGAGGAAAGCTTCAGCTTCAGGAGATTTCTCTGATAATTTTATTGTGAACAGGTGAGCTTTGCAAAATGGATGAGGCAGACAAATGAATTCAACAATTTATACAGTATATACATTATTCTAATTTCTAACAAACCTCTCCTTAGAGGAGTTGCTTTAATTATAACATTCATCAATAGTGGAGTTCTGTCATAAACTTGTACTAATAAAATATTTATATCACACTGCACGGTTCGCCAGAGTGCATTAGAAGAAATAATACGGGTTATACCTGTGAATCATTTGGAGGGCTTTTTTGGACAGTAATAATTAACATTCTGAATATGATGCTCGAAGCATCAAGGTGCTGTGTATAACCCCAACTGAAGAAACATCTTTTGGGCATGAACACACCTGTGCAAATAAAATGGAGCCTTGGAAAAGATGAAATTTATTTGGTGGATCCTGTTTGTAGGGGTGTTTCATTCATTTCTTAAAGAGCGACTCCAAAGGATTTGCAAAAGGTGTAAAAGGAGTAAAATGACAAATGTTTTTGTTTTTGTCCAGAGAGATTAAATGTGTCTATTAATTATAAGAAATGTGCATGATCAAAATCATTTGAGAAAGACTGATCTTGTGGTGAACCTAAAGGCCACAGAGATTAGAAAGGTTACATGAAAACGGCCATTTCTTTTTTCCATACTTGTATCCGTCTGGCGTAGATGAAAGGCCCTTTTCTCAGACTAGATTGCTGCCTTATTTCTTCCTTTTGTTCACCCAGTGTGA